AAATGGCGGCTCCCCGCTTATGCAAATGAAGCCCGGGAAATTCAAATCCCGGGCTTCATTTGCAAGTGCGGTATGCCTACATTACCCCACTAGTTCGAACTAGCGGGGTAGTGTAAACATACCCCTATATTGTTAAATGAACAGGTGTGGGGGACAAAGATTTTTGTGTTTAGTCCTGAATTGGAAAAGAAATACACTAAAATATCTTCTGCTGCACAAGTACAAGAGCCTGACTTGTTTTAGTAAGAAATTCCTAATGTTATTTCTAATATCTAGTCCACTGGTATTTCCATCAAATGTTATTAATAGGATACCAATCTATTTTAGTATTCCTAGTGGCCTTGGTGTGGGGGACAAAGATTTTTGTGTTTAGTCCTGAATTGGAAAAGAAATACACTAAAATATCTTCTGCTGCACAAGTACAAGAGCCTGACTTGTTTTAGTAAGAAATTCCTAATGTTATTTCTAATATCTAGTCCACTGGTATTTCCATCAAATGTTATTAATAGGATACCAATCTATTTTAGTATTCCTAGTGGCCTTTAGCACTGTAGGCCTATTAAGTTAACATGAGGCCTAACAAGTTAAGCTAGGGAAACCTCCAGCTGTGTGTATTCTAGTCATAAACTATAGGACAGGGTGGGGAACCTCAGGCCTGGGGGATGGATGCAGCCCCCGCATTGGGGAGTCCACACTGGTGCTCCAGCCCTCCCCCCCCCCCCCACCGGGCCCCCCCTAGGCTCTGGTGTGCAAAGGGAATGTGGGGACTGTCTTTCTCCTCAGTCAGAGGCTTCTCTCTTTGCTTCTCGCTTGTGTGTGGCCCCCAACTGATTTTTCTGGGGGGTCAGCAGTCTCCAACCCAAAAAAGGTTCCCCACCCCTGCTATATGAGGAAGTTCACCCATTGTGAAGGTTTGTTTCATGCCCGATCGATACCATTTTTCAGCTGGGAGAGTAACATAATTTAGGCTTTCAGTAGGATATTAGGATTTCTTCATGTAGGCATATTTTGTCATTATATTGGATTGCATCTGAATGATCAAATACCAGTTCCCTGCAGAAAATCTTAAGCTGGATACAGCTGTTCTCACTTGGTTCAGCTATTCTCACTTTGGTAATGTTGCTGTTAATTCATATAGTTTCCTCCATGTGATGTAAAGTAGTAGCCTAAATGTCATTGAAGCAGATCAGTTCTCATTTCACAGAGTTAGAATTCATTCAAACTGATCTCCCATCCTGAGATGGACACACTCCTTGAACTATTGGAATACATTCCTTCTACTGCAGTGTTGTTCAATTAGCAAATGAATATTAGATAACACTGCCCCCCAAATTCCTCAGTTGTTTTTCTAGACTTTCTTCATAGTCTTATTACTAGGGTAAGACTAGATCTGAGTGTATTCTAATAGGAAACTTGAGATTTATGATTTTTTTAAAGACAAGAAGGAAATGGAATTCTGCCTTGGAGTTCAGTTTGGACAAGAGCTTTCCTAGGAGCCATATACCTATTGACAAGAAGATCTGAAAGCCTCCTATCCTGATCTGCACCTAATAATCCATGTTAATTTAACTTTATAGATTCCAGTGATCAAAAAATAATTCAGCATCGTTTGGTGATGATGAAGGTTGTCTGACTTGAGTCTTTAAAAGCAGATTGTTAATATGACCATAAATAAAATCCACTTTTGTTTCCCAGGCTTCACATATTTCTACAAAGGAAAGGAGTATTGGAAATTCAATAACCAGATGCTCAGGGTGGAACCTGGATATCCCAGATCCATCCTAAAGGATTTTATGGGTTGTGATGGACCAACAGACAGGGACAAAGACCGACACAGCCCTCAAGATGACGTGGACATTGTCATCAAACTGGACAACACAGCCAGCACTGTGAAAGCCATAGCCATTGTCATTCCCTGCATCCTGGCCTTGTGCCTCCTTGTCTTGGTTTACACTGTGTTCCAGTTCAAGAGGAAAGGAACACCCCGCCACATACTGTACTGCAAACGCTCTATGCAAGAGTGGGTGTGATGTAGGGGTTTTTTTGTCTCCCAGGAATTTGTGGCAACTTGAGAGTCAACATAAGAGCTGTTGTGCGGTTTCCTAGCTAGGAGCAGGCGTCTATCAGCCTGAATCAGAGCTGATCTTTAAAACCCAGGGGGTTGCCTGTCCTGCACATGAGTGGGGATTCACTCTACTGGGAAGCTTCCATGATAGACAGTATCTGCCGTTTCTTCAGTTCTTTGTCTTTCTCTGTCATTTGGTTCCAGACCTTTCCTCTGCACGCTCAATACCCAATAAACTATCAGGATTAACTAATGAAGAGGAAAAAAGAAAAGAAAAATCCAATATTTCTACTGGTTACCCCTGAAGCCTGTTCCCATTTGATAGTAATTTTGCTGAAATAAAAAGTTGTGTTTTTTTAACTAAAAACAACACAACAACCCACAGTTGAACTTTCGGGAAAGTGTGAAGACCCAAACAGCTTTGTCTCCAAAGAGGATTGCTTTCTGTCTGCTATAGTTATAGTTGTACACTCCTACACACAATTTTTGTCAAGTGGGAGACCTGGATGACACGCAGAACTTCAGACTGTTCGGACAGCCATTTTCCAACAAACAAGGGGCCAAAATATCTGCAATATAGTAACAGCCTTAATGATATATTCATTTTGTGTTTTATACAGCTGTTCTGAGCTACATCCTCAATGTTTTAACACATTTATATCCATTACTATACTCAAACAGAACCTTTTTATTTTTTCTTTCTTTTATTGATTTTCCTACATCATTTTTTTCCCAAGCTGTACCAGGCTAACTGCCCCGGGCCTTTCATAGGTCTGTCAGGAACACTCATTCCAAAGCATAGCAAAAAACAGTATGTCTCTGAAGTGGATTGCAATGAACTAAAGTGACAGTCATGTTACAGATAAAATTGACACTAGCATTACATGAAGATAGAGCATTGGTGTAACCCTTTGAGAACTATAGGATTAGTTTTTAGAGGCTGAAGGTTGTTAATCTTGGTTGCCATGAAAGTATAGGATTGAAGAAGTGGTATGTAGAAACACAGTTTAATGAAATTCAGGGGTTTAAAATGGATATCCTGTAAGTGTAAGTAAGGGCTTTTAATCATTTGCATTATTGATAAAAAAGGATTTATAACAAATGAACAGAAATAAATATATTTGCCAGCTACTTTCTGGTAAAATAAAAACATATTTTAATAATTTCTAGCACTCGGATAGGATTTTTTGAACTGGCTATAGTTTTACAACATAGCCTTTTAGCTCAACATATTGAATTTCTGTTTTAAACTATGTTGCATGCTAATTCAATTTGCCTTGGTACATGAATACATGAAGATAGAGTTACAGTTTGAAAGGAAAGATAAAATGATGACTCTGATGTTGCATGAATATCAGGCGAATTACCTTTTGCATGTTTAACATAGTTCTCAAAGGGTTAGTCAGATCTCTGGCATTATGCTGTACATTAAAACACTGACAGAGCCAAGGGACCACCAAAGCATTTTGTCATTCTGTGTAATTTGTGCTAACAGCAGTATTGTCATTTTCATGTGACCTGCAGAGCAGGTTTGTATCAATATTTTTTTCCTAGAGAAAAGTCAGCAACTGACAGACCTCTTTATTGATTTTAGGAGCTGCTTCTTGCAGTGATAGGCTTTACAGTCATTGGGCTGTGAACTTATTAGAGATGGTCAGAATGAACGCACCCCATGAGTCAGACACCTGGTTTTGTATGAAAGCCAGGATTTGAGGGGAGTCGCTTTTGAAATAATGAACAGCTTGCCTTGAACTTGATTATTGATCTGTTGACTGTCATTACCAAGTTAAACATTGTCTTCTGTGAAAAGCTTCACTGTCTGAATTTCCTTAAAGTGCACTGTCCTATGTCTTTGCTCTTTGACCTTTAACTTGCAAACTGGCACAATCTGAAGAGAATCTGGTGTTGCTAATCAGTTTGGATTGTTTTTTTTTTCTTTTTAAATGACCTGATATTCATTATCCAAGATTGCAGAAAAACATTGAAGAGTTTTCAAAGGAAAAAAGTGACAGTGACAAAAATATGTACGGTAGATCTGGGAATTTTGGTATGTATACATGCACACTCTAAAAATGAACTACAGTAGAAGTGAATTTTTATTTAACTTGAATACAATTTTCAGTATAAAATTAGTAATTTCTACAAACAGCTAGTTATTATTAACAAAGTTATAAGACAAGAACATAAATACTTGAAACAGCCAGCATTGGCTTTTACATACAACAAGATTTTTATACTAGATTCGACAGATTTCTTACTGATTTCCTAAGACACGTTACTGGATCATTTTTTAGAGAGTGTAGGTATATATACATATAAATATATTATGATTATTTTGGTAATGGATAGCTTGACTGCCTTGAATTTTATATTTATATTGAGCCTAGCATGAAAAATTAGTATGTTTTTTTGTTCAATTACATGATTTGATTTTGATTTGAAGAGTTATTTTATGATCATGTGTGGCATGCTATAAAGCATTGCAAACAGTTATTTCTTAGAGCATAAACAGAAATATATATATATGTACGGCTAACAAAAATGAAAAGTTAGAAAAAAGGTATAGTTTTACAGCAAATATGCTATGCAGATGGCATTTTGGAAATGTTTTGTAGAGGTAATGTATGCTGTATGTTAGAAGTGCACCAGTATCAGCCCATAGCATTACTTCAGTAGATTCATTTCAGCTGTTGCTGAAAATGTAAAGAGTGCATTCACAACTATAGAACATAGGATAATATTTACTACACATCAGCTCATTTAGGGAATTCAAAATTCTATGCCTGTCTATCATATTTTTTTAATTCACTGGGTGAATTTTGTTGTCAGCAAACAAGTGTAAATTATGTTCTACTACAAACTGAACAAAAGGACTCATATTTTTGTTCTGATTTTGTCCCTTGGATAGTTGGTGGAAACCACTGACAAAATTATTTAATCTTCAGTTGATTTTCCTCTATAACAAGAGAACCAGGCAATTTGATATTATCTTTAAAACAGAACAGCATCTTACCTGTTTTCTTACTCATTTACCGATATCACTTCACTTTCAAAGTCTCTTTCATGGCAGCTTTGACTTTTTGTGCAACTATTTCCCTGGGAATAATGAAGTGCTGAGCATGTTGACTATTGTTCATGGATAAGGTAACAAAAATGTTTGTATTTGGAGAATTTAACTTACAGTAATTATGCTGGAAGGTAAGTGTGATAATCTAGTGCTTGATATATGGTACGTCATAGATACATGAATGCATAATAACTTGATTCTTTAATCTGTTTTCTTTTACATAAAAAATACACACATATATTATATATAGAAAGAGGAAGAATTTTAAAAAGTCCTGCATGGTATATTTATGCCGTGCAGGTTAAGTTGTGTCAGCATTTCTATTATTATGCATTTCTATTTTCAGTAAGTTATAACACAGTCATAAAAATTTGCTTTAGGCTGAATGATTTAGGAGCAGTTTATGTTCATTCTAATTTCAAAAATGTATATTTGGTTGCTTTTAAGTTATAGAAGTTCAAAATAAATGAGCTATTTTCCCAGATTTAGTTTTGAACTTATATAAATCAAAACCATTTTACAAGTTAAGAAAATGAAATTTGATAAACAAGTATTCCACTAATAATTGTTAGTGTTAGCAAAGAATAGAATAAATAGATGAACTGAGTTTTGAAAGTTGGTTTTTGCTCATGTGAAGTAACTTTTTTCCTAATGTTTTTAATAAACATAGCCATATTGGTATTGTTGCAATCAACACTGTGAATATACACAATACTAAATATGGATTTCATCAGTCTATTACAGTCTGGAAAACTGATTTTACAGGGATTGTGTAAGTCAAGAATAACAAAAATTTCCCATAGACAGAAATACAATTTAATTAACTTTTATCGGAAAATAAAGTTAGCAGAATATATCTTTATATATTTCCTTTATAGGCTGACATGCAGACTCAGATGGCTTCAAATGAGCTCTTTAAAATCCCCTGATAAATATAATACACATTTTGTATCATTCTATAAACAATGTTTTTGAAGTTGAGTTGGGGAGTAGGTTAAAAAATAATTATGATTGTGAAACATTGATGAAAGCCAGGAAATTTCAAAATGGAAGACCAGACTTCCCTTTTCCTGCAGCAGTGTGTGTGTGATTCCCTTCCACCACCCGCCCTTCCCAGAGCCCTTGATTTTATAATATTGTGGGTTAAAAAAAGGGTGTAAGATTTATCCTTGAATTCCTTGGCTTTTGTTGATGTATGACGCAATCCTGATGTTAGTTAAATGCAGCTTTTGCTACTTAGTTAAATTTATCAAATCGAATTCTGGCTTGTTGGTAGGAAAAAATGCACAGATCAGAAAAGTAGGTGTGCCTATAAGCAGTGAACATTACACTTCTTCTAGCTTTTTATATTTGTATTTTTGGTGGGGGACTGGCTTGAAAAGACACATAACAGATCTAATAGTAAAGATCAAACAATGCATGTTCCATTTATTATGAATTAATGTAGGAAGTAGGAACCCAACCTACCACACGTGTAGCAGCACAAATTGGAACCATGACAACTGGAACATATTGAAGCACAAGGAAAAGTTTTCAGGGCTTTTGTTTTCATTGGGGGGGGGGTCCTCTATCCCATGCAAATAAAGGCTTGACCTATTTGCTAGTTTGACAGTGAAAAAGGTATACACAGCCAGAAAAGCCTAAGTCATGCAGGCAATAAGAGAAGGGAAGGAGCCAACATTGGGATCAATAGCTGCTTTCTATCTCTACTTGTGGCCCTACCTGCCTTTTAGCTGCTGTGCTTTCAGCACCTTGAATGTTTTCAGCAACAGTCACCATAGAACGATACCTTCCTCAATGGAAGGCACAAATGGCCACCTGTGAAAATAGCATGATCATGTTCCTATTTCTCTAATCCATTCTCCTGCTTTGCCTACTAGCTGGCACAAAGAAATACAGCTCATTTGACAGTCATAATCAGATTATCACCATCATGGACTGTAATGGCTTACCCCGTGCAGCAGCCAACCCTCGGACCATTTAGTGTCATACAATGTAAATTCCATATTATACAATGTTATTTTATAGATATACGTGTAGAAGGAATAACCCTAATAATTAGGGTTCCAGAGTGTGAATAACATTAATATGTGATCATTGCTAGTAAATGTTATCACTACCATAGAAAGTTGTTGGAAAGCACTATGCTAACCTCAGACACATCATATAAAATTCTTGTTTCTTAATGTAGATAAACCATAGCATATCAGCCACAAATTGTCTTCATTTCATTAATGTTTTTGTGTGCATTCACAGATGCTACGCATACTGGATATATTATCCCTTACAATGAAACACATACAGCAGGTAGACATAGGGTCAATACCACCCTATGCCGCTGCAGTGTATAGACAACCAAGGGAATGCTACAGAATGGTCAGATCTGTGCAAGAGAGAGCTGCAGAAACAAGCATGGCATCCCAAAGAGAGCACTAGCCACAGTTCTCCATGTAGGTACTGTAACATGAATTGCCATCACAGCAAAAACCCACAGTGTAGCTATTATTGATGATACATATGCACCTTGTAGTCCTCATAACCCTATGCTGAGTGACAACATTCACAAACTATTACCAGGTGAGTGATCCATATCCCATTGAACCTCATGACCCCATCAAACCACACACTACTTCCATCATAATTGTTTCCTCTTTAATCACCAGCAGTGGCATATGGCCAGTCTGTTTTTTCCCCACCGTATTTAGGTATAAACCTGAAGTCGCAATTTTAGTCACCTCTTCCTATAACAATGGTGCATGGTGATAGGTTGCTATATTTCATTATGCAATACTAGTATAGAGATGGGGATCATGCTGAATCCATAACATACCCCAAATGGCATGTACACCAAAAGTCCCCCACCCCAGTTATGACTCCCTTTTGTTTCAACATGATGCTGAGATCAGATAGCCACATAACAACTCTATACACAACTGGTCATTGACCTTCACCAGCATAAACCTATGTTTACCAGTGACTTGGATGAAGCTCTTCATCTTTCACTCAGCGGGCACAGCATAATGTATACCTGCAAACTAGTGTCATTGTCTTACAGAAGTTAGGGTGTGAAGTCACAGAGTAACAATTTTCTGCTTGCATTACTAGTGCTCGCATAATACAGCTCCTGTCCTTTTTAGACACATTTGCCTACATGGCTGTGTACAGTCCCATAAATCACGAGTTATAATCCACACGTGAATTGATCATCATCATAAAAACATACATATGTGCATGACAAACAAATTATGGGACTGCATATCCTGACTAATAACTACACAAGCCCAAATTTATGCATGTGGTGAATCTGAAGGCAAACAGTTAAGCACATTATATATGCTCTTATTGGAAACTGACATAACAAGAGTGGATGTTGTTCTCAATCACATATTGGCAACACCAATTGATTTGATTCCCTTTTTTGTCAGCTGTGTAGATGGCTAAGGCATTCAGACACAGACTCTGTCTGAATGAGATACATTCAATGGGCATAGCTAACCGCTAATGCTGCTGTATCATAATGATCATATGCTGTTTTAACTGATCATGTTAAACTCAGTTATTCATTGCTATTCATGTTATAGATTCTCAGTTTTGTCATCCTATCTGCCAATTAACTGCTGAATTTACTACTAAAATATTACATGGCCATGTGCTAAAAGCTTGATACTATGTTTATCATAACCTTACATAGCCATGTCCTATCAGAGTTTGTCCATATCCACGGCAATCTGAAATATCAGATTTGTATGACAATGTTATACTCATGCAACCTTCATCCTCATGCTGAGCACACATGTTCAGTTAGGAAAGAAATCCAGGACTCAAGAAACCTGTAACTGTGTCAATCAGTTATTCATAATGTACATTAATTCTTTACATCTTCATCTATATAATATGTTTGATAAAACATCTTCTATTAACTAAGTGCCTGGCACCAATTTACTGCCATCTTTAGTGTACTCTTCCAATGCCATGTGTCTCTCTCCTCTCAATTCACATTTATATATCTAGGCTGGTAATGTAACTCATTATTTCTGTTTTACTATTTAAAGATGAAAACCATTGCATTGGATTATATCGGTGTCTGTAGTCCTTCTCCAGACTGTATAAGATATATGGACACTGACCTTCTGTGTATATTTTGCTTTGATAGAGACATTCATTGGCTCATGGTGAGACAAATACCATGCACTTTCATCTCTCATAAAGAGTTAAAACTATTTGTGAGAGTCCCTTCCAACATTGCCAGTGAAAGCAATCAGGCCTTCTGATTTAAGGTGACAAAAGATACAACTATACAGATAGGTCACTGTTCATCTCTCAGAGTCAATAACAGAAGCCAACAGGTCAATCTCTATATCCAAACCTCAACCCCATTCCTTTGCAGTTGAGGAGACCTAGGATCCTAGGTACAGCCAGAATTGCCTTCAATCAGTCCCATAATCTTACTAAAAAAGAATAGGCTAGAGAAAATATGACAGATAATCAGTGAAAAAGTTTCTGGTGCCAGGACTTAGTGATGGCATGCCTTAGTGACACTAGTACCCTGCCCTCACAGTCACTAAAACTTGTTGAAAACCTACCAGAAATAACAGCATTCATTCCTTTCAGACACAGATCTTTCCTCATAGATATGGTAAAACCAGTCTGAATCCAAGTTAGAAAATTTGCTACAGTCAAAAGTACTCAACCCTGTTTTGAGAGGATGTCATCATAGATTCATTGAGTGTTCTGCCACATGAAGGATTCTGCTGGATAAAACTTCTCTGATGTTATGATGGAAGAGGCAAAACTTGTCTCTTGCTTCCACGACAGCCACAGTGTGTGATACTTTTGTGAGAATCTAGAAGCGTGGCTGTAATTACAAGATGATGTGATTGTTCCTCCATGTATGCGCATACATATATGTAAGCCATTGATCTCATTGTTTCTCTTCATTAGGAGTTTCCTACTGGATAAGGTGGTGCCTTATGTTCTCCACTCTAGTTAGGATAGCGAACAGTAACAGGTGAACTATGCGGGCTGGTGGGAATGCTACAGTGTTGTTGTCCATGTCTCATTGGTCACTCTGACACAAACACTCACAGTTGCAATCAATCACAAGAGATCCACCAGTTTGTGTCTAGTGCTGATATGATGGTGGCTACTATTATTTGAATCATTCCACATGCATACTTGAGGCATCCTGTGCACACCTTTCACTGAAATGACACTAAACAACTTTTACAGGTTGAATCTTAGAATTTCAGTTTTTCTTACGCACAGAGTGGATTTGCTGCATCCTTGTGTACACATGGATCATCATGCTTTTGTATATTCAGCATGATTTTTGAAGTCTCCCTCAACTATTGTCCATTCCTTCTTTCCTTAAGTGTGGATAACAGTGTGTTGCAGAGCCTGCATTAAGCATCACAAACTGTTTGCTCGGGTTTGTGAAAGATGTTACAGCAACAGGGTATTGTCCTGTTTTCTTCTCATTCTGCATTGGCTGCACATATTCATTCTGTGATAGTTCAGCTGCAAATGAGGCTGTATTTCAAAAACTCTAGAATTGTTGTGTACATACACCCATCATTTCTATCTTGCTGCCTCGTGGAAGAGCTGCAAATGTTGATTAACATTCTCTCCTTCTAATATGCGATTCTTTCTTCTTGGAAGTAGGTTTGTCTACATTTATACTATTCAGATGTTGGGTATCTTCATTTCTGACACCTCAGTTATTTCACATATAAAGAACCTGTATCATAGTTTAATGATGAGCCAACATTATTGAATAGTGGGACCCTTTCCTAAGCATGCTGTTAACCATCTTGTTTCCATTCTCTACTAACTCATACATACCCATAGCACATTTATGCACAGGTCTCTGTAACATCTGCTACCAGGAAGAGAGTTTAAAACCCTGGAAGTGGTAACTTATGGCTTTTAGGGAGAGCCACATGTGTTTGGACATTGTCGATCTGTTGGGTGAGAGAGATGAGCCTGGATGCACAAAGCCACTGGCAGGGACAGGCAGAGGGTTGTCTGCTCCTTGTCAGATCTGTGGTTAGTGCTGTCAGTGGCTACAGTATCTGATTCTGGGATGGTTTTCCCCAGTACTTGTCCAATCACATATTGATTGGGGTACATTATTTTGAAGCTTCACACAGCCCATGATTCAACTGCTCTTTCTCCTGAATGCTGTTTATGCGGCTTACTCACCATGAATTGTGCCCTTGTATCTGCAGCAATACAATTGCTGTTTCAGTTCTAGTGGTTATGATCCCAGTTGATTTTTCAGTTTTCCATCTAAATATCACTTCTTCCTGTCATTAGCTGGTCTCTGTACTTGCATTAGAAACTTATTTGGCCCCAGGATGTGCTGCATACAACAATTTAGTGGCCCTTTCCACATTGCTGCGTGCTCACTTTACTCCACCTCCGTGACATAATTAGATGTATGTATGAGGTTCTCATGTATATACATGGATTTTGGTACAATTCTTAGGCTTAGAATATGTCAGGTGGATTTTTAGGCATAACATAATCCACATTTGGACAAACCAAAAATCTTTTCAAGCTTTGCACCCTGAACCACATACAGTAACTGGTCATCTGATGTTAAATAGCCCTACAAATAAGCCAGAATACAAGTGTAATGATTTCATAGTGTGCTGCACATTTTCTTACCTTACTGTCTTTTTGCTGCATAGCCCTATGTGCATTTCATGCCCGAGTTTTGCTCTTTATGTTCTGTATTGGCAACAAAATAACTGGAGAATTTTTACCTGCTTTCCCTAACTAAATTTCTTTCCTGTTATTTTATTTAATTCTATTGCTCACACAGCATTCTATATAGTAGTCTTCTTATAACTGACATATGTTATTGTTTCAGGTAGCTTCTACTGACAAACACAGAGTTTGTGTGCAAATGCAAGGCTGACTAAATGGTGCTAAAGTGTATTATGACTGTCGGATATAATCAGGCAAAATTTTGTGGTGCTTAGACTGATTTTTTCATTGATTTTATTGATCAATGCGTTGGACAGTGTTTTATTATACACAAGCTGTTCTTTATTAGTAAATCAAGGCCTCATCATACATTATTAAATAAAATTGGTTAATTAAGCTATGTAACAGCTCACCAAGCTATTATCTCTTTAACTCCTTATAATGTTGCGTCATTAAAGGTCAAGGGGTCATGATATTAATCTCATTGCTGTAGATCATTAACATAACTGAACATTTTCAACAAAGTACTTATGTTTACAACGCTATAACCCTTTGACTGCTGCGGCAACCTTTAACCACAAAAAAAAAAAAAATCACATGCTAGAATCACTATGGTTCTTGCCATGGCAATCAAAGAGTTAAGGGCTGTGCAGTGATTTGTTTTATATTTATTAATTTATATTTATTTTTATTTTCATTTGAGGAGGGGGGCTTTGGGTGGGGCAGTTCTTGTCTGCTGTAAGTGTCTTAACCAAGGGAAGGGTGTTAAAATGGCTTTTTATACTATTGCATCTTATGTATTTACCATTGTTTCATTGTGTTGTAATTAAAAAAAAAAACTGTCAATAAATAAGAGAACAGGAAAAAAAGTTTCTTAGAGACATTGTGGTTTTATTCTGTGTATAATTATTGCTCTGTAGATAGTATGTAAAACTGCAGCCAACCTCAATTCAAGGAAGAAAAGGCAGTGGACACAAACACTGTATAAGAGCATTCTGTGCATCTCTAGGTATGAACGTGGAAGACACATTTGTGCAATTTTTCTAACTAAAACAGAGTAGCGAGAACTGATTTTTGGAAGATAAGACAGAAGGAGGAAATGGCTGTAATGCTGTATGGGCCTTTATATATGTCCTCTGTAAACGTGATCTACAGATAATTGATTTTTCCTATTTCCTCTATTTAAGAAGAAGTTTACAAGAAGCAATGTAGAAAAAAGTTGTTCAATTCCTGGTAGGGAATAGATGAGAAGAGACCTACAAAATCTCATATTCCTATGATAGATGTGATTTGGGGATATATATGAATATGCCAGTGAACCAATAAGTAAAAGGGTGGTAAATGTCACTGGAAATGAGGCCTATCACACTGACCTAATGGACTTTATCCTGCAAGTTTCTAAACTCCTCTTGTGTCAGAAGAAATGGAGCCCTCCCCAATTCATACATCAGAAAGAGCTCAGTATCACACAGAATGAGATACGTGTGCATTAAAACATTTTTCCTGTGGAACTCAGAAACATATCCAAACCAACTGGAAATAAGATTAAGAGCTTCAGTGCTTTTACCGCAAGACAGTGCTTGATAGCCATAGTCAGAACTTTCTTGGGGACTAATCCAAGATTCTAGAGAAAACTAACTCCAGTTCTTAGAGATGTTTCAGGCATTTGCATTTGCTAGTATGTAAACATAAGCATCATAACAATAAATCTATCTTGACTTTCCACCTGCCAGCAAGGAGGAAGAAAGAAGATAAGAACCATACATGATAGATGCTAACACTGTTACACAACGCACTACTGAAAAGCATCCAAATACCACCCGTGTATGTGAAGTGTAAGAACTAGAAAACTATGTAGAGTAAAAAGATACTGTTGATCCGGGGAAAGTCCGATTAGTAATACAAAGTCTGAATAAAATGTCATGGAGATTGTATGAATCAATCCTGACTTTGTTGGAACTCAACTCTTTTTAAAGAGAAAAGTCTTTTAGCTAGTTTAGGATGCTATCAGAAGAGGAAAACCTTGTTAGTAACATGTCTAGCAATCCATAGTTGGCACACTGTATAATGCTAAGTTTGCAGAACACTTTCCACTTCAATGCCATTTTATACGCTTATTACCTGCTAAAATAGGCACCTTTTAATAATGAAATTTTGCAGATTTACATATGCCTGCAAGAAGTATGGAATTTTACTTTAATGTTTGGGGAAAATCCCTTCAAATGTACTTGAATTACAGTGGGGAGAATAAGAAAAATATTTTACCTACTGTGTAAAAAAATATCAACCCCTGCTTCTTTGATCAGAGCAAACAGGAAAAAACAGACTGAGATACTTTTCCTTCTTAACTTTAGAGAAAATCATTACAAATAAAGAAGTTATGAGACTGAAAAATCATTTCTGAACATACTCAGCTGCTTTTTGTCAAAACTTAATTTGACCTTGGCCCCTTTGTGGTATCAAAGTGCCCATCCTTCCTGGCTTGACCAAGGATGTACATTACTGTTCTTAAAATGTTGCTGGGGCAGTTTGCTTTTAGATCATTGTAAGTGGCTCTATGAAAAATGGAGTAAAATACCCCAAACTTCCTTGAGCATGGAGAGTAGAAAATCAGTGACAAAATTAAGTTGCCTATGACTTGACTGTAACCTCTCTTTGCATTTTTGCTTCATCATACATCATTTCAAAAATATTAAACTTTATTTAAAAAACCTATGCCCCAATGCTGCATCCTTATTCTTACCCTCCTACTCCTTCCCTGCTATTCTGGGTTATACTCAGTGTTTGTGTCTTGCCTTAATTAGATTGCAAGCTCTTTAAAATGGAAATTGCATTTGTACAGGTCTAGCACCATGAGACTGCAGTCACATTTAAGACCTGTGGGAACTATATATTCAATAAAAAAGTATTTTACCTCTAAAATAATTAATGCAATTAGCACCTTAGTTGTACCTGTCTCAATCTTGAAGCTGCTGGCTATATATTTAAAAACACATTATAACAAAATAAGTTAAATAAATCTTTAATCCCACCTCACAGTAAACCTTCTCAGACCACAATGGTCTCCCTTATAGACTTCATCACTACCACTATCAACCCTGCTCAAATTTTCTCCCTCCTATCCAACGCAGTGCCTGCACATATTAATGGATCAGCTGGTTTCTTAATCAAATCCAGGCTATGGATGGTTTCCCAAGGAAGAGACTAGATGATTTTATAGCTGCTTGTCTTCAGGCCTCAAGGAGTTTTGGTTCAGTTCATGCAAGCTATTAGAGGACAAGAACTAATCTGGCATTTCATAGTTGGCTGCTCAGTGTCTAATTATTGTTGTGTATGCTGATGAAGATTAAAAATGTATTTCAGGATGCCAGTCATCTGGTAACCATTATCTATCCCTTCCATATCCAAACCTGATTTCAAATCTTTTGCCCAAGTCCCCCAGGCTGTATCACCTGAACTTACTCAGGCTCTTCGCTTTTACTGATGCATACCCTGATGTAGTATATGCTGACAGATTTGTGATGATCAGTAGTTTTTAGTACAGGGTTACAATCCAGCAAAAGCATTCTCCTACTCTTACAGCTCTCCAGACCATGCCATGCTATAGCTTTCTTGTATTAGTAAAGGCCAGTTTGATTTTGTAGAAAGCAAATGATTTAGCACCTGTCACTGAAGAAGCAGCCCTCAGCTCCTAGGAGCCTTCAATCTTTTTGTGAAAGGAAAGGCAGTCAAGCACTGACATATAATAGTGGGGCTTTGGAGTGCATATGGAGCACTGTTCTTTGTTACTGGGGAAAGTTGTCCATTCAGTGATGCTACTGATCCGTCTATGGACAACTGCGTGTGATTTTTTCAGGAATTCATTATTACTTTTGGGGGGCTTTTTAGTTTTATAAAGCTTAAGTCTTCCAATCAGGAAACAGAAACAGTACTGTATTACTTACATGACCAATGAGATGGTATGAATAATAATAAGAATTATAGAATAGTTTTCCAACAACCCACAGGCTAAAATTTGTTCATACAAGCAACTTGCTAGAACAGTTACACAAACTGATACTAAATTAATAAAAGACACAGCCTGCTCAGGAATAATTTTCAAAATGGCTAAATTTGTGCAGTAAATTATTTATTGTAAATTGTTCCTCCAGCTTTATGCAGCATTTAATTACACACCAGGGTATGTCTAGACTACAGACTTTTGTCGACAAAGGCTTTGTCAACAGATATTGTCGACAAAGCTTCTGTTGACAAAGAGCGTCTAGACTACATCCAGTTCTGTTGACAAAGCAAGCCACTTTGTCAACATGACAGTGTAGACACAAAGGACAGTGTAGATGCAATAACGCCATCTGTCAACAGAACTCTGTCAACAAAAAGCGTTATTCCTCGTAGAATGAGGTTTACCACCATCGACAAAACTGCCGAGTTCTGTCGATGTCATGTCGACAGAACTCGGTGGTAGTGTAGACGCAGGTATAGTTTTGTCAACAAAAACCACTTTTGTCGACAAAACCCTGTAGTCTAGACACACCCCAGGTGACTGACCTCCTCAGGGGAAGCCTAAGACTTTAATGAGAGAAGTATTTTGCAAGTCAGATATTATGTGCAATGGCAAAATTGTCTGGGTTCCTCCCTGAGTTGTGGCTCAATTTAAGTAGGCATTATTTTAACAAACATTGTATCCAATTCTGAATTTAAAAATGGATAGAAGGCCACATGTTGCAATGGCTATATGGTAAGTAATGCTGGTTGGATGGTCTGGATAGTAGTGAAAATGGGATTTGATAGTAATCAGACATGGTTAATCAGGGTTTATGAGTAACATTGTGATAGAATGCTGTAACTTCTCTGTAATGCCTGGTAGGTGGCCAGTGCTACCTGAGAAGCAAGTGGAACAGGCTAGAAAGGAGAGTTCCTAGTGCATGGACTGATTCAATGCCTACCCTCCAAAGCTCTGTCCCCTCAGGAGTTTCAACCAGGAGGTAAAGCTACTTCTATCCTCAATGAAAAGCCTCAGGCAGGACTGCAGAGGGAAAAACCCAAGGAGTGGGGAAGCTTACAGGCTCAAGGAACTGTAGTTCACTCCTCTGGAAACAACCATCAGGACCACAGTGAGACTTATTGGAAAGAATTTTGTTTTCCTAACTGGGCATTGAGTCAGGTCCAGAGTTTAGACCATTCTAACATAATTATCCCCAAGCTACTGTGCAATTCTTTTAATTTAATTTATAAAAGAAACCATCCCAATGCATAGAAAGAGAGGCAAACATGGTAGGAGACCAGATAGGCTTACAGGGGAAATCTGGTGAACTTAAGCACAAAAAGGAAGCTTACAAAAAGTGGAAACTTGGACAAATGACCAGGAAGAGGTTTAAATGTATAGCTAGAGAATGCCGGGGGGTTATCAGGAAGGCAAAAGCGCAAATGGAATTGCGACTGGCTAAGGCTGTGAAGGATAACAAGAAAGGTTTCTACAGGCATGTTAACAAGAAGAAGGTGACCAGAGAGGGTGTGCAGACCCTACTGGATGAAGGAGGTAACCTAGTGACAGATGACGTGGGGAAAGCTGAAGTATTCAATGCTTTCTTTG